GACTTCAGCTTCCTCGCTTGGGTTTGCTAATGTCTGAGGAGGCCCGAAGCCAGGGTTTAAGTCATGGTTTGGGGTTTACACTGGACATTTGCACGAAAGGAGATCCAGCCCTTTTCCTCGTGGGTGGGGGTCGCCTCTGAGGGTGAAGGGTCTCTGGCCCGGGGTCCCGTTAGAGCTTGTGCGGGAAGCAGCACAGATGTAAAGCTGAAGGTCGCAGAGGAAGCTCCCGTTCTGTGTGAATCAGGGTCCTTGCCCTGCCCCTCCCCGGGGGGGCTGTTTGTCATGTCAGCTTGTGATGCTGAGCTGGGCAGGCGCAAGTTTTTGTTTGTAATTTTCGCATTTTCTCTTTCTTTTTCTCGACATAAGGTTTATCAAACTGATAAGAAGCACTTTCTCTGCAAAGACAAGTACTACGGAAGGAAACTCTCCGCCGACGGGTTCAGACAAGCCCTCTATCAGTTCCTGCACGACGGGACCCGCCTCCGGACAGAGCTGCTGGCGCCCATCCAGCGCCAGCTGCAGGCCCTCCTCTCGGTCATCAGGAGCCAGAGTTCCTACCGCTTCTACTCCAGCTCCCTCCTGGTCATCTACGACGGGCAGGAGCCGCCGGAAAGAGCCCCGGGTAGCCCGCACCCGCAGGAGGCTCCGCAGCCCGCGTCCGCCAGCTGCCCCGGAGGCCTCCCCAAAGTGGACGTCCGGATGATCGACTTCGCTCACACGACGTACAAGGGCTCCTGGAATGAGCGCAGCGCCTATGACGGACCGGACCCGGGCTACATTTTCGGCCTGGAGAACCTCATCCAGATCCTGCGGGACATCCAGGAGGGACAGTGAGACGTGGTGCCCCCCGTCCTGGAGCATAGTATCCAGAGACCTATTGGTAGCGAGCATAGTCTAGACACCCCTTCGATGTCTCTGTAATAACATAGCTACGTTCAGGAGCCATCACTCCCACGGCAGGCTGAGTGAAGAGCCGCTGAGAAAGGCAGCTCCGGAGAGAACTCACACGCCTGGCGTCTGTGCTGACACTGGTCACCCAGACTGGATGGTCCGGGTGAGACGGCACATGAGGTAGAGGCGGCATCACAGCGAGACTCTGCAGTGTCTGCATGGAACATGCTTTCTTGTCACGCTGCAGTCCTGGCCGGCTGTGAGGCAAGTCCTCATTGAAGAGGGGGCTCCCAGTCATGGGTCTGCTTCATGGGAGGCCTGTGCCAAGGGCAGGGCGGAGGTGAGGAACGCCTCCTACCTTCCTCAGAGGCACTGCACTAAGCCCACCCCCTGCTCCTGCGGCTGCTGCCCCCGAAGTGCCCGCCTTGCCTCTGTGAGGCCATCAGAGGCGGATGTTGCCTTTGTGCCCGCTCCAAGGGGAGGCTGCACTTGGCCAGCCCCAGTGCCAGGCGGTTGGGCAGAAGGGCATCCGAGGCCTGCGGTGTCCTGGAGAGGAGCCAGGGGCCGTTGGGGTCGGGGTCAGAGTCCAGCCCAGGAGGGCCCCGCAGTCACAGGGGAGGGCCCCTCTCCATCCTCGGGCCGGCCCTGACTGTCCTGTGCTCCCTCCGCTGCAGCCCGGCCACTGCCCTCCTGAGGTCCGAGTTCCACCTCAGCACCCACGTCGCCTTCCTGGTGGAAGATGCTAACGGGAACCAGGCCACGAGGGGGAGCTTGAACCCGTGGGGTCTGCACTGCCACCAGGCCCACCTGACCCGCCTCTGCACCGAGTACCCACAGAACAAGCAACATCATATCCTTGCCAGCCCCCTGCCACGGGGTGCCCAGGGCAGGAAGGAGCACCTGTGAAAGGGGGACGGGGGCGGGAGGCAGGAGCCCTCAAACCTGGGACCTAGAAAAAAACCAGTTCTTTCCAAAAACAAATCAGAGATGATGTGAGAGCCAGACTGGGAGTTCAGCAGAGCCTGGTGCCCTGGTGGCCACCGCTGTGTCTGCCCCAGCGCTGCGGGCTCTGTGGGCAGGGGGAATGGCGACTGCCACGCTGAGTGGGGATGGTGGGGCCTCAGAGGGCTGGGTGGGTCCCCTGCACCGCACCCTCCTCCTACCCCGAATTCTCCCCACGAGCTGATGGGGAGGGCAGAAGGGAGGCTCCCCCTGAGGGAAGGCCACGGTGGACCTTA